ACCTCCCGCTGGTCTTGTGATGGATGGTTAGAATCAATACTATAAGAATAGTATGTGTCTGCCGAAACCGGTTTGGCTCAGTGGATAGAGCCGTCAGCCTGCGGACCGAAGGATCCCGGGTTCGATTCCGGTCAAGGGCATGTACCATGGTTGCGGGTACATCCCTGGTGGAGGGGGGGTGCAAGAGGCAGCTGGTTGATGATTCTCTCTCATCGATGTTTCTCTCTATCCCTCTCTCTTCCTCTCTGTAAAAAATCAATAAAATATGTTAAAAAAAAAAAAAGAAGAAAAAAGAATAGCATGTATCTCATAGGAGTGCTGTAATGACCAAATTAATACATGAGCAGAGTTCAGTACACACGTGCTTAATGAATGTTCGCTAGTATCTTTTATCCTGCTAAATCCTTCTAGTAACTTCAATTCACCCGTGAAACTCTAAGAGGTGACTTGACTTGCCCATGATTCATAGCTAAGCAGCGGACCTGGGACTTGAACTTGATCCGAAGGCCCACGCTGTACTGCCTCCCGTTGCAGAATCCATCACGCTGGCTTAATAGCTGTTTCCTTATCAGTCTCTCCCTCTCGGTGGGTGCTCCATGAGGGTCGCTGCTATCTTGTCACCCCCACCCCATGACACACTGGAGACCCTGATTGCATTTCTGATGCTGAGCAGCTCAGACAAGTTACTCAGAGGCTGAGTGGTGGTCACAGCACCCTGGCTTCCCCTCAGCCTGTGTGGGAAATGCCGTGGTGCCTTCTAGAGTCCGTCTCTTGGTGGACAAATATCTACTGGCCCAGGATCAGAGGCGCTCTGAGCTGGGAGAAACCACAGCAGAAGCAGCAGACGGGAGGCCTCAGATAAGCTTTCCCCTGAGCAAGCCCTGTCCTTGGCGGGGCAGCCTCCCCAGTCTCTCTCCGATGCCTCCCCCATCAGTAGCTGGTCCCTAATACTGAGGCGCCCACACACCAGCTCCTTGTTTCAAGGAACTCGAGCGTCAGAGGAGCCTCCGTGGGCTCAGTTTGAGTGTAAATACCACCTGCTGCCAGAGAGGGTGACGTCAAATCCAGGCTGGCTGTGGCCGTGGCCTTGGGGCAGCTCCCGCACAGAGGCCGGAGGCCCTGGGAGTCACAGCGAAGGAGGGGGAGAGGCAGCACAGGCTGGGAACACGTTTGAAGGTTCCGCTCGTTATCAAGGATCTCATGACTATTTTTCTTTGCAAAGGCATTGAAGTCAGAAAGGGAATGGTTTTCCTTTCCTTGCTGCTCCCTATTCAGAGCATCTGGACAGCAGGAGCTTGACAGGGTGCCCTGATGGAGTTGATATCCTTCCAGCCAAAGCCAAGTCTGTATGGCTTTGAGGTTAAAAACACTGATTTGAGCCCTCGCCGGTTTTGCTCAGTGGGTAGCGCATCGGCCTGTGGATCGAAAGGTCCTGGGTTCGATTCTGATCAAGGGCAGGATCTTTCCCAGCCCAGACCCTGGTTGGGGCTCGTGCAAGAGGCAACCAATTGATGTGTTTCTCTCACATGGATGTTTTTGTCTTTCCTTCGCTCTTCCACTCTCCTTAAAAATCAATGGGAAATGTCCTCGGGTGAGGATTTACCAAAACAAAACATAGTTCACAAAGGGAGACAGACAGTGGTAAGTACCATGAAGATAGATAAGGCAGAGTAAGGAGAATGAAGTGTCAGGGTTGAGAGGATTGTTTCATTTTGGGATAGACTGGGAAGGCCTTTCTGATAAGATGACTCCTCAGCAGACCCAGGCTGAAATAAAGAAGCAATTCATGGGACTCTCTGGAGGTGAACTCTTCCAGACAGAGAAAGGAGCACGTGTCAATGTCCTGAGGCAGGGGATGCCTGGAATGTTCCAGGAAAGGCAAGAAGGCCAAGTGAGCTGGAGTGAAGTGGGCAAGGGGGTGGGCAGAAGGGAGGATGTCAGAGAGGTGGCTGGGGGCGGGGTGTGTAGGGCCTGGCAGCCTCCTGTGAGGACTTTGACATTCACTTTGAGGGAGATGGGAGCCATTGGAAGATTCTGAGCAGAGAAGGAAGAAGATCTGACGGGCTTAAAGGATCCCTCTGGCTGCCATGGAGAGAACAGATGGTGGGGGACCAGGTAGCAGGGAGACCATGGAGGAAGTTGCTGCAATTGTCCAAGTGAGAGAGAACACTTTTGATTAAATTAGGAGCCATCGGTAGTAAGAAGGGGTCAAATTTTGGATATGTCCGAAGGAAGAGCTGCCAGGATTTGGAAATGGATCGCAGTGTGTGTGAGTATGTGTGTGTGTGTGGGGGGGAGACAGGAGCCAAGGACTGAGAAACGGAGTGGCCATTTACTGAAGTGGGGAAGACATTTGGGCAGACAATAAGTGCTCAATAACTATTATTTGTTGTATTGGTGATCTGGTGTCCTGGGTTGTCTAAACTCAGTGACTCAAGGCTTTGAAATGCTGAGCACTCCTGACAATAACTCCGTAGGCGTTATGCCTGAGCACGAACTCTGCGCCAAGCACGATAGACACGCCCTCTGAGAAAACCAATATTGGTTGAATTTTTAATATATTTCAGGCATGGAGCATTTTTCACTTAATCCTGTCTCCACCACTGGAATGTGAGCTGCAAGAGAGAGATCTTATAGCTCTGGTGTACTACTGCGCATGCCCGGAACACAGTGGGAACACTAGTTAATATTTATTAAATGAAACTTATTGTAGATGGAGGTTGGACAACTTCCCAAGGTAGAGCTGTGTCTCAATAAATATCTGTTGGATAATAATTATTTGTTGGATAAAAATGAGTGTTACTTTCCTATTTAAGAAAAGAGGAAACAGCAGGTAGCAGACAAGAGATTTGAACCCAGGACTTCCTGATGCCTGAACTTGAACCCTTTCCAAGGCCACACTCTGGGGCTTCATACACACTCTGGTGACTCTGTTTACACACATGAAACCCTTCCCCCTCCCCACTACCCAGAGAAAGATCTAGTGCTCCCTCAGACTGTGAAGCTCTAGTAATATGATCCTAAGTTTTTGTATCCATGAAATGCATGACCTTAAAATATTCGTTTTATCTGACTGACCAAGGTCACACAGATTGTTAGGGAAGGAAACAAGATGGGAGCCCAGTCTTCCCACAGAGTCACTGTGTTTCCCTAGTCAGGGCTTCTTCGCCTGGGGCACAGGGTCTCTGAAAAGTCCTGTATTACTTTATGGGACTTTCTTCCCACAACACTGTCTGCTAATCAGTGGTTTTTTTTAAAAAAAAATATATATATTTTATTGATTTTTTAGAAAGAGGAAGAGAGAGGGATAGAGAGTTAGAAACATTGATCAGCTGTCTCTTGTACACCCCCTACTGGGGATGTGCCCACAACCAATGTACATGCCCTTGATCGGAATCGAATCCAGGACCCTTCAGTCCGCAGGCCGACACTCCATCCACTGAGCCAAACCAGTTTTGGCAACAGTGTGTTCTTAAGAGCAGGTACATTTTCGGGGAAAAGGGTTCATAACTTTCATTACATTCTTTATGTATATGTGTGTGTGTATATATATATATATATATATATGTATATATACACATACACACATACACACACATATATATGTGTGTATATATATATATATACACACACACACATATATATATGAAATTTTTATTGATTTCAGAGAGAAAGGGAGAGGGAGACAGATAGAAACATCAATTGATTGGCTGCCTCTTGCACACCCCCTTCCAGGGGATCAAGCCTGAAACTCAGGCATGTGCCCTTGGCCGGAATGGAACCTGGGACCCTTCAGTCTGCAGGCTGACGCTCTACTCACTGAGCCAAACCAGCTAAGGCATATATTTATATTTTTAATTTACTTCAGAGAGGAAGGGAGAGATAGAAACATCAATGATGAAAGAGAATCATTGACCAGCTGCCTCCTGCACGGCCCCTACCGGGGAAGGAGCCGGCAACCGGGTTTTGTGCTCTTAACTGGAACTGAACCCTGACCCTTCAGTCCGAGGCTTTCTATTCACTGAGCCAAACCGGTTAGAACTTTCATTATATTCTTTTTTCTTTTCTTTTTAAAAATATATTTTATTGATGTTTTACAGAGAAGAAGGGAGAGGAATAGAGAGAAACATCCATCAGCTGCCTCCTGCACACCCCCACTGGGGATGTGCCCACAACCAAGGAACATGCCCTTGACCGGAATTGAACCTGGGATTTTTCAGACTGCAGGCCGAAGCTCTGCCACTGAGCCAAACTAGTTAGGGCTTTCATTATATTCTTAACGGTGCTTATGATAAAAATAAATAAATACATAAAAAATAAATAAAAAAACAGCTTATTTTTATCTCCTGTACCTATTTTCTTAAACTTTTCTTTTCAAGGCTCTTTTTAGATGAGAAGAAGGAAGAAAAGGGAAGGAAGAAATGATGGGGCGGGGCTGTTGAGCCAGAATACAGCGGAGGCCAAGTTTTCATTCCCGTTACTATTCATTCACTCATTCGTCAGCAAACGCTTGTGGAGCACCTGCTGGCTTCCAGGCACCATTCCAGGCTGGGAACGCTGTGCCGGGCCAACTCTTGGCATCAGGGTTTACAGTCTTTCAAGGGAGACATAATAATAATAATAAGTAATAATAATAACAACAACAACAACGGCTGTGTCCGGGCCATGAAAAATAAGTGGTTCGTGTTGGGGCCAGAGATAAGCGGTTCGTGTAGCCCACGAACTCCAGCGAAGGGAGTGCCCACGACCCAGGGTGCCCTCCACAACCTTCCTTCGCGCTTTGTTCTCGGGGCGAGCGGAGGGGGCGCTGCCCCGGGAGGGAGAACTGCGGCCCCTGCGGCTGCCCGGCTCCGCGGCCCCTCCGCTCCCCGCGGCCGGAGGGGGCGAGTGCGCAGGCTCCGGGCTAGGCACCGCCCAATAGGAACTGCCTTTGAGGCGGGGTCCCGCCTCCACGGCGCAGCTGCTTCCGCTTCCGGTGTGGCGGAGGTCTCGGTGAAAAGATGGCGACGGCGGCTGTGGCTCGGGTTTCCGCGCTGCTGGGGCGGCGGCTGCAGCCGGCGCGGCCCATGTCGAGCGGCGCCCACGGCGAGGAGGGCTCAGGTACGGGGGCCGCGGGCGGCGGGGGCCGGGCCGGCGGCAGCGGGCGGCGGGGGCTGTGACCTTGGGCCGAGGCCTTGGGGGAGGGGAGGGAGGCGCGGACGGCCGCCGCCGGCCTCAGCCGTTTGCGCTCCGCAGCGCGCCTGTGGAGGGCTCTCACCTACTTCGTGGCGCTCCCCGGCGTGGCGGTGAGCATGCTGAACGTCTTCCTCAAGTCGCGCCAGGGAGAGCACGAGAGACCCGAGTTCATCGCCTACCCCCACCTGCGCATCAGGACCAAGGTAGGCCCCGGCCGCCTGCCGTGCCCGTCCTCCTTCCCTCCCAAAGCCCTCGCCCCGGCGCTCTATTTCTGAAAGCGAGGAGCCCGTCCCGAGCGTCCACGGCTCCTCATGAAGTGATCGCCAGCTATTTTCTCCGGTTTCACGGAAGGGAACCCGAGGAGCGGGCAGGGGATGGAGACGGGGGGTGTCACTTCTCACTTTCTTCTTCAAAGTCCCACAATGAGTGACTTCCAGTTTTCCTCTTCTGATCCACCTGCCTCCTGACTGTTCAGAAACAGCTGTCGTCTGTATAAAACCGTGTAGGTTCGGGAAACTTGCTCACATTGGCACAGTCGGACCCTGGTTCCCCTTTAAAACCTGCGCGCCGGGCAGGTACCGGCTGCATAACAAAGAGACTGACACTCCCGTTCTTCTCTAGGCCATTATCTTCCCCGCCGTGTTACGCTTTGGCTGTTGATGTAGCTTCACAATCATTTGCTCTCCGCCGTATTCTTACTTAACAAGCGCCCCTCCGGTTCTTTAATAAATATTACATCAGTCCAGGTAGGACTGGCCTCAGAAATTAAGCTAGATTCTTAGTTTTAGGAAGAATTTTGTTTTTTTTAAGTCTTTGAGCCCCACTCCCCCCCCCCCAGTACCGTAGAATTAGAAGTCATACAGGAGGTTTCTCAGCCTCAGCACTATAGGTTCTTGCGGGGAGCCGGCTGTCCGCAGTTGTAGGCTGTTTAGCAGCATCCTTGACCTCTGCCCTCTAGATGCCAGTAGTGCCCAATCCCGCCTCAGATGACTCCAGGTATTGATTGCCTATGTCCCTGGCATGGCAGAGTCATCCTGGGTTGGAAACCATGATTCAAGAGCAATGCTTTTCAAAGGTACCATGCGAGTATCTTCTCGCCGCACCACCTCTGCCATTCCCATACAGGTGATTTGAGGGTTACACTTTCATAATATGCCTGCCAGGGAGAGGTTTATGAATAACAAACTTAAGCTTTCTTTTCCTGCTACCTACTTTATGCCAGTAGTTAGAGGACTAATTTCCTTTTTGTTTTATGTATTATCTGTCACTTACCCTATTTTAAGCAGTTCGTGGCAGTGTGGTTTCTGAACTTTTCTGGAATGCCCTAATTGACATCTTCCCTCCACAGCCCTTCCCCTGGGGAGACGGTAACCACACTCTCTTCCATAACCCCCACATGAACCCGCTGCCAACGGGCTACGAAGAGGACCATTAGAGAGAACCCGGACCAATGCCCGCGGGGACCACAGCACTGGTTTGGACCACGCTCTGCACACGGACCAGAAGGTGTACGGGACCTTAGCTGACTTCTTCCCTAATGTAAAATGATGACTAATCTCCCATCTCTACTTATGGCAAGAGGTGGCTTAAATAAATAACTTAGGTTGGCCATAAGCTGAGAGTTGCATTCTTTGGTGGTGTTTTTCCCTGGGAAATTAGCATTAATGTTATTTCTGTTGCTGCAATGAGGCCTCTGAATAATGGGGTTTATAACAGGCCTGTCTGGTTTCTGGTGCCCAGGGTATGAAACAAAGCAAAGGAATGGAGCTAAGTAACAAGATTGGGTCCTGAGTGGCCAGTAGAATGGCTGCAGTTTCATTTAAAAAGGATTCTGGAGAGGAAGTGCTTCCTGTATCCCAGCATTTTCCTATCCCTCTCCGCCAGCGTTTGCTGCAGAATACTACCAGAACACTAACTAGTCTGATCTTTTCCTCCGGAAGTGTCAAGTTCTTACCTTGGTGTCATCTCTCAGCACCCTGAAGTTGTTAGGGTCAAAAACCTTTGAATAATAAAGGCAGCTTCTTTGAAGTAGCTGAGATGGAGGGAGAAGTCAAAATAACATGAGGAACAACAACAAAAAGTATTCTTTCTATAGCAATTATAATAAAAGAACGTGGTTGGCCTGGAGCTCATTTTATTCTCAAGGCTCAACCAGACAGTTTTATGGTAAGATTCAAAAAGTTTTAAGATTTTGGTGTGAAGACATAAACTGGTGCTGCACATAGAAATGGCCATGAAAACCGTTTACAGTTAAGAAAAAAGAATCCTTGTTATCTTGGCCATTTGTGATCTAGCCATGTCCTATGCTTTCCCATAGAACTGTGCCAGGACAGATGGACTTACCTTCAGCTTGCTGTCTGGCCTCCCTCAGCTGGGTTCCGAATATCTTATAATCCTTGTAGAATGGACATTAAACCGTCAAAATATAAATGCAGAATGTTTTGAAATGACATTAAGGACTGGTCATATTAAACATGAAGTAGTGTGCTCACTTTGGCAGCACATGTACTAAAATTGGAATGAACCCTGGCTGGTTTGGCGTAGAGCAGCTGCCTGGGACTGAAGAGTCCCAGGTCAGATTCCGGTCAGGACACATGGCCAGGTTGCAGGCTTGATCCCCAGTGTGGGGTGTGCAGGAGGCAGCCAACCAGTGATTCTCACCATTAATGTTTCTCTCCCTTCCTCACTGAAATCAATAAAAATATAAACAATAAAATAGAATGATACAGATTAGCCCTTGCACAAAGATGACATGCAAATTTGTGAAACATTCCATATTTTAAAAAAAAAATATGAAGTAGTAATTGATAAAGTGAAGAGAACAGAATTATGCTGCCTTTAAATAAAGTTTCAGACTTTTGAATCAATGAAATTACTCAAGATAATAGTTGTGGGAACTACTGACATTCTAGAATAGAGGTCCCCAACTGGTGGTCAGAAAGGTTGGTGACCACTGATTTAAGGAAACCTTTGGAGCAGCAGATGCCAGGGGTGGTCTGTGAGGTCTGAAGGGTTGGTGACAACTGTTCTAGAGCCGTGGTTGGTAAACTGCGGCTCGCGAGCCCCTTGAGTGTGGCTCTTCCACAAAATACCACAGCCTGGGCAAGTATTTTGAAGAAGTGGCATTAGAAGAAGTTTATCGTTGCACTGTTGATATTTGGCTCTGTTGACTAATGAGTTTGCCGACCACAGTTCTAGAGTATGGAATTGCTCACCTGATCCTGACTTTAGCGTCATTATATAAACTTTTAAAAATATTTCTGTAGCCTACTGTGGAAGTACATTTTTTAAAGTCAGTGAAGTTTCTAATTGTTATGCCAGACTACCTAAGTTAGATAAATCTTCACTTTTTCCTCAACTTTATATTATAAAACATAAAGTCGCGCCCCCCCCCCCATGTATGTATGGGACATGTGTGATACCAGGGTAATAGCTGTTCTATAAAATGCAGAGTTCAAGGGTCAAATAATGATAGAAACTAAATGTTACAATTTATTCCATCTTCATGATTACAGACATTACAGGGCAGGGTAGATAAACAACACAAATAAATAAAATTCCTTTCTCCCCTAACCAGATACAGTATTTTAGCATTTTCATGATATACAGGTTTACTTAATTCATTGACTTAGCTTGAAAGCTGGCCACAGCAGCAAATCTTTGCAATTTAGGATCTTCCTTCATAGCATACTCCAAAGATCTTAAAGACTGAACTGCACTATGAACTGAAATGGTGTTTGCTCTAACATTCTTGAAGCTTTCACATCGTAATCTGAGATCTGACACCTCTTGTTAAGGCTGGGAACTGTTAAAAGCTTCTCTTGGCTAACCTAGTCCACCACTGAGCAAGTTTAACAGTTAAGTTACTATATAAAATAAAACTCCCAGGCTGATTGAAGCAGTCATACTGGAATCCCTTTTCAGAGCATTAGCTCCCTGAGAGAAGAGGTCCTAACCAGTTGCTTCCATGAACAATGACCACAGTTCAGTATCTCTAATGCCCTTTGAGACATTCTAGTAACTCGAGGCAAGGGGTCAGGCAACCATGATTATCCTGACAAGTTTATCAGTCTTTAGATACAAGATATATTTAAAGCTGATCCCAGATGAAGTATTGCAACCATAATCCCAAGAAATTCCATTTTAGCACAGCAAGTTCCTGCAAGATGTCAGAGCAAGTGAGAAGTCATCCCCAAGTAAAAAGTGGTGGTTCAAAGTGAGAAGAAAACATCTAGGAGGAAAATAAGTCCTCATTAAATTGATGGCTATCTCCACAGCCTTAATTGACAAAATCCAGAGGGCTCAAATTTCCTGATTTGAGGAGTCTTTTCAAGGTGACTGTCAAGGTCAAGAAGAGCTTTCAGGCTTGTCTCTGCCATGGCCCATGAACTCCAGTCCTTCGATGGGAATCTCCTTCTCCTTTATTGCTTTCTGATGGGAGAAGACAAATTATAAAGGTCAATATGAAGCTTACTGGCTTTGAGCAAGCCTCACTTTTCCTGTCTGCAACTGGGATAAAGAGGGAGGGGGAGAGAGGGAGGGGGGAGAGAAAACAGGTCAATAAAGGATTTATGACAACAAAAAACAAAGCCCTCCATCAGGCCAATAAAGTGTTTATAACAACCAAAAATAAAACCCTCCATAATATCTTAACAGGCCATAGAAGGCTAACACCCAGCCTCACCTCCAAACAATAATAGTGGAAAAGTGCATTACCGCAAAAAAAAAAAAAAAAAAAAAGGAAACTTGATTCTAGTGAACTTGGCCTAGTCACTTCCTTTTCCTGGGTGTGAGTGTTCCATTTTTCAGTTAGAACTACGCCCACTCGGCAAGTTTAGGATGAACACCAAAGGCCCCAAAGAATGTTACTGTGCTCCGTAAAAAGTAAGGCACCACAAAAACATTTAACTTGTCATCTGGCGAGATCCCAGGCAGCCTGGGTGGTGACGGCCAGAGAACTGCCGCTGCCTCGATGACAAGGCTCTTCTCCACCCGCCCGCTCCCAACGCCCGCAAGACGGAGGCGCGGGGCCGGGCGGGGCGGGCGCAGCTCACCTGGACGCACTGCTGGTAGCGCTTGAAGAGGTCGGTGCACGGGTCCCCGGAGCTGTCCCCCTTGAGGAACTTCTCGGCAAACCAGCGATTAAAGCACTGATCGTACTCGCGCTTCATGTCGGTGCAGCCCTCCCCGACGCTGTTCATGGCGGCGGCGGCGGCGGCCTCTGATGGCGTCATCCTGGCGCGCCGTCTGCTGCGCCCTACGGAGTCCGAGAGGAGGATGTGGGCGCGGGCGGCGCGGCGGGTGCTCCGGGCCCCGGGGGGCGGGGGCCGGGGCTTCGCTTCCAAGGCCGGAGGCGGGGGTGTCTCCGCGGGGGGCGAGAAGGCGCCCCCGGAAAGGGGGCGCGTCCCCGGCGACGTGATCGAGCACCTGGAGCGGCTGGCGCTGGTGGACTTCGGCAGCCGGGAGGCCGTGGCGCGGCTGGAGAAGGCCGTCGCCTTTGCAGACCGGCTGCGCGCCGTGGACACGGACGGGGTGCAGCCCATGGAGTCGGTGCTGGAGGACAGGTAAACCGCGGCTGCGGCCCAAGCCTGGCCTGTGCGGCCGTCGCAGGCATTTAGGGAGGCGATGAGGGTCTCTTTTCAGTGAGAACCTTAGGCGAGATGCAGGAACTTGCCCACGATCACCCCGCGGGTAAGGGTGTTCCTCTGTCTAACGGGTCCTGGCGCTCGCGTTTAAATTCCTCAGCGCCTCTCGGTGTAACGCAATCCGAACTGCTGAGTATCTTTGAGGGTCTGCTTCTCCTACCGCCTGGGCATCCTCCTCTTACAGTCCAATCACGTCGGCACCATCTCTGTTTCTCCAACGTGCCAGATAGTGCCTTCTCTAGGCTCTTTGCACTTGTTCCACTTTTCTTGAACAATCTGTCCCTTTGGCAGGTCTGTTTATCTCCTCTGAAGGGCCTGTTCTGACCAGTCCAAATCCCCTCCCGCTTCCTTATCTTAAATAGATTTTCTTCAGATATTTTTTTGACTTATTTTTGTTAATTTGTTATGTCTCTTATTAGAATGAGTTCACATCTGACTTGCTTACTAAGTTGGACACATGTCTCAGATTATTTTTTTTTCAAAAATTTAAATATACACATTGTCTGACCTAGCGGTTATGGAACTATCTGTGAAAGTGCACCAACCTGTGTTTACAAGTATCCAGGGTATGCAAATCTGTTCATAGTAAGGAAGAAACAAAAACCCCTAGAAACAGATATAATCTAAGTGTTCTTTGTGACTAATACATCATCATACAATGGACCATTCAGCAGTTATTAAAAATAATGAAACAGCCTTAGCCGATATGTCTGGACTGAAGGGTCCTGGGTTCGATTAGGTTCCTTTCCAGTTAAGGGCACATTGCTGGGATTGTGGCTCGGTCTCCAGTGGAGGGCATGCAGGAGGCAGCCAATCATCGATGTTTCTATCTCTCCCTCTCTGAAATCAATAAAAAAATATAAAATAATAATGAAACAAATACCTTTCTGTGCTGACATGGAAAGGGTATATTTGATATATTTGATAAAAAAAAAGCAAAATTCATTGTGTATTTGATAAAAAAAAAAAAAAGAACAGTGTGTATGATATCATCAATGTTTTTACATTTCTGATGATGCATTGTTTCCTTTTGCTCCCTGAAAAGGCATGTAGAACACGGTTAATGGTTAGTTTTAAAGAAAGTGGCAACGCACAGGAAGAACATACATGCCTAAGGAGGCAGAGTAATAGGTTGTGAAAAGTAGTGTAATGCAATGGGGAGGGGCGGGTCTTTGACAGACTAGCTTGTAAATACTAAAATGACACATCTTCTACCCACCTCTAACAATTGATGCCAAATCTTAATACATTTTTTAAAAGAAAATGCTTTTTTGACAAGCAGACTTGTTTGCTGGTTTGGCATCCAGCTTTGTTAGAGGGAATGTAACTCGTAAAAATAGGGGCAGTCTACAACTCTTTCCTAGCCTTTTCCTGATGGAATTTTAAAAAACAATAAACCAGTACAGGTGGGAACAAGAAAGATGAGTGCCATTAGCACCAATAGGGATGGCCAGACCATCTGAAACAATACCCTTTGTGTAAACTGCTTGTTAGCCTCCTGCTCTGAACTTGTCTTTGATTCCTTCAAATCCTCTCTCTATTTGTATTTTGGTGCTCAGGTAGAGAGTTTAATTTGCCCAAAGTTACACAGTGTTTCAAAACAGAAATCTGCCCTGACCAGTTTGGCTCAGTGGATAGAGCATCAGCCTGTGGACTAAAAGGTCCTGGGTTCGATTCCAGACAAGGGCATGTATCTTAGTTGGGGGCACATCCCCAGTAGGGGTGTGCAGGAGGCAGCTGATCGGGTGTTTCTCTCTCATTGATGTTTATAACTCTATCATTCTCTCTTCATCTCTGTAAAAAATCAATTAAAATTGAAAAAGCAAACAAACAAAAAACACCAGAAATCTGATGTCAGAAAGCTTCAGGTGGCACAGCATCAAGACAAAAGCTTCACCATAACAGGTAATGCAAGACAACAACACTGTCACTTTCAAGTCCTCCTGCTCTCCTTTTTTTTCTTCCTTTTTTAAATTGATGTTTAGAGAGTAGTGGAGGAGAGAGGGAAAGATAGAAACATCAATGAGAAAGGATCATTGATTGGCTGCCTCCTGCACGGCTCCCACTGGGGATTGAGCCTGCAACCGAGGTACATGCCCTTGACTGTAATTGAACCTGGGGCCCTTTAATCGGCAGGCAAACCTTCTATTCACTGAGCCAAACCAGCTAGGGGTCCTTTTTCCTTCTTTTTTATAAATATATTTTATTGATTTTTTTACAGAGAGGAAGGGAGAGGAGCGAGATAGAGAGCGAGATAGAGAGCTAGAAACATCAATGAGAGAGAGACATCGACCAGCTGCCTCCTGCACACCCACACCAGGGATGTGCCTGCAACCAATGTACATGCCCTTGACCGGAATCAAACTTGGGACCTTTCAGTCCGCAGACCGACGCTCTATCCACTGAGCCAAACCGGTTTCGGCTCCTTTTTTTCTTCTTAAAGGCCCTTGCCTTTACCCCCAGTTCATCACATTTACTCTCTTTTGCCTAATTTCTTTCTTCAGATTTCTTCTGCCACCTTCTAAGGATTTGTGGCTTTCACATGGTATTCAATAGTGATGGAATTTTACATGTTTATACATCATTTAAGTGATATTGGATTATCTATCTTTCTCCTCCCACTCGTCCATGTTCTGGGGAGCATGTTTGTTATTGCTCATCATGTTCTCAGTCTCTAGCACTGAGCAGACACTCAGTAAATGTTTGTTGACTTTTTTTTTTAAAGTATATTTTATTGATTTTTTACAGAAAGGAAGAGAGAGGGATTGAGAGTTAGAAACATCGACGAGAGCCAAGACCGGTTTGGCTCAATGGATAGAGCGTCGGCTTGGGGACTGAAGGGTCCCGGGTTCGATTCCGGTCAAGGGCATGTACCTTGGTTGCGGGCATATCCCCAGTAGGGGGTGTGCAAGAGGCAGTTGATCGATGACTCTCTCTCATCGATGTTTCTGGCTCTCTATCTCTCTCCCTTCCTCTCTGTACAAAATCAATAAAATATATTTAAAAAAAAAAAAGAAAAAAAAAAAAGAAAAAAAAAAAGAAACATCGACGAGAGAGAATCATCGATCAGCTGCCTCTTGCACACCCCCTACTGGGGATGTGCCCACAACCAACGTACATGCCCTTGACTGAAATCGAACCTGGGACCTTTCAGTCTGCAGGCCGATGCTCTATCCACTGAGCCAAACCGGTTTTGGCGACTGTTCTTTATTAATATCTTTGGGAAAGTAGGTGATAGAAGCACAAACGAGAGTCAGAATTTCCTAAGTCATCTAGAGAATAACTAGATGAAATGTGACTATTACTCAGAGAAGAGTTTGTAAAAAAGATGAAGAGGGATTTGGGTCTGGTAGCTGGAATAGTGACTTGGTATTCAGTGATCTGCCATCCTGGCATAAATTTGGGACTCCATGTTTTGGACATGCTGTCTGACATTTGAAATGGAACCCAGTTAAGTGAAGACAAGTGTTAAGAGTTTTAAGTGATAGCCAACTGCTGTAAAAGCTTAGTCCTTTTTAGCTCAAACCAAATGATAGGTGATCAGGGCTTTCTCAGCAGTATGGCTATCATTTGGTTTAACATAAAAAGCATTAGCATGCTAACATGACAGGCACTAATATTTATATGCATTAACTCAGTTATCACATACAGCCCCTGAAAGGAAAATACTAGTATCTCTTTTATCGATGAAGAAACTAACACTCAGACAGGTTATGTAACATGCCTCGCAGTTTCCCGGAGTGAGAGAGGTCAGGATTTGGAACTCAGAGCCTTACTGCTTTGGATATACCATAGAAACTATTTTCATCTCAAAGCCAGAGACTGACTCAGATGGCGTCTCTGACTGCAGCCAAACACTTCAGTGCTTAGGATGGCCCTCAGGAACCTTATTTGAACCAAAAACTCTGAGCCAAAATGATTAACTTTCATTCAGGTCTGCATCAAACTAGAAATAAATGAGGAGGGATCGAAGTAGGGTGGTGCCCAGAGAAATGACTCCTGGCAGCCAGCCCGATACCAGGGAAGGGCAGAACCTGAAACAGAAAACTGTCCTAGTGTCAGTCCAGGGCTGGCAGAGCCACTTCCTCCTCCATGCTGCTATACTGATTTCCATTAAATACCTTTTATTTGCATTTCCCACAGTTTAATACTGTCTATGACCTTCAGAGGGCAGGGATCTCTAGTTCACAGCTGAAGTATATCTCAAGCAGGGTTTTCATCTGAACCAGAACACAGATCCAAGTGACTCTCTTCAATTCTCCCAAGGATAGTTTATAATTAGTATTAGTCCCGATACATAGCTGATTATCAAAATGGTGTCCTACAGTATCTGGGCTAAATCTTCTTGTAAAACCTGGACTCAGAAAGCTGAGATGAGGTAGGCATTTAGTCAATGAGTGTTTCACAGGCACCTAAGAGCTCATCAGTTCCTGTTCGGTGTCTTACACAGGATCCCGAGGTCAAGAAAAGTTAATCTACTTGCCAAGCGAAGGATCAGCTTGCAGTGCCATTCTCAGACCCTGGGCTCAGAGCCTATGATGAAGGAAACAGGGAGTTGTGGGTTTATTCTAGAAACAACATCATTATAAACAGGTGGAAATGTGTGACAACTAAAAGGATGAATTTTTTCCTGGAAATGTCACCATGGTGAAGTGATGAATAAATCAGTTGTTACTAGATCAACTGTTGGGAAGCAGTAGCTTTTAACTTGTTGGCAGTAGGTGAGTCTTCATCAAAATCTCCAAAGGCCCAGGAACAATGGGCACCCCTCCAGTCTGTAGAGACTAAGCAGGTTAAGTGTGATTAGAGGTGAAGTGCAGTTATACTCTGAATGAGTAGGACTGATGTGTACTAGGGGTGTACTAACTCTTTCTAAAAGAAGCAGGCTCACCCTAGCTGGTTTGGCTCAGTGGATAGTATTGGCTTGGAACTGAAAGGTCCCAAATTCGATTCTGGTCAAGGGCACATGCCCAAGTTAAAGGCTTGATCCCCAGTAGGGGGCATGCAGGAGGCAGCCAATCAATGATTTTCTCTCATAATTGATGTTTTTCTCTCTTCCTTCTCCTCTCTGAAATCAATAAAAATAAATAAAAGGAGCAGGTGCTATTCAGCATCCATCTCTTATTGACATGATAATATATCCCAGCATTATAAGATATTTAACATCATTTTATTTAATCTTCCCAACAACTCTATGAAGCATTGTACAAATGAGGAAACTGATACATAGAGAGGATAATTTGCACATATGCCATGTGAAGGTGGCTATGGTGGGAAAAAGCATCACTGGGACTTGAATTCAGGAGCCCAAGCTCTTAGCCATTTGTTATACTGCCCAACAGAAATATAAACTCCAGACAGTTCAAAGGTCACCTTTATGATTTTTTTCTCCAAGTTTTCTTAAACACAAAATTCTTTTTTTTAAATAAAATTTTATTGTTCATATTATTACAAATGTTCCTACCCCCACCATTGTTCTCCTCCACCAGGTTGCCACCTCACCCTCTGCCCTTTCCCCAACCCCCATTATCCTCATCCATAGGTGCACAATTTATGTTCAATCTCTTCCCACACCCCCCACTCCCCTTTTCCCCAAGAATCGTCCGTTCACTCCCCTTCCATACCTCTGATTCTATTATATTTATTATATTTACCAGTTAATATTATTCATCAGATTTTTTAAAATTTAATTTCCTTGGTTTTTAGATTCACTTGTTATAGTTACGTATTTGTTGTTCATAATTTTTATCTTTATTTACTTTCTCTTCCGAAAGAACCCCCTTCAGCAATTCATATAATTCTGGTTTGGTGGTGATGAACTCCTTTAGCTTTTTTTTATTAGTGAAGCTCTTTATCTGGCTTTCGATTCTGTGTGATAGCTTTGCTGGGTAGATTATCTTTGGCTGTAGGTTCTTACTATTCATCACCTTGAATATTTCTTGCCATTCCCTTCTGGCCTGCATGGTTTCTGTTGAGAAATCAGCTGACAATCTTATAGGTGCTCCTTTATAGGTAATTACCTGCTTTGCTCTTGCTGCTTTTAATATTCTCTATTTTGTCTTTTGCTCTTGGAATTTTAAGAGTCTCATGCTCTACCGACTGAGCTAGCCAGGCACTCGCTGCTCTTGGAATTTTAATTATGATGTGTCTTGGTGTGGTCTTCTTTGGACTCCTTTTGTTTGGAGTTCTGTGCGCTTCCTGGACTTGTAAGTCTAATTCTTTTACCAGGTGGGGGAAGTTTCCTGTCACTATTTCTTTCAGTATGTTTTCGGTATCTTGCTCTCTCTCATCTTCTGGGACCCCATAATTCTGATGTTGGTTCGCTTGAAGTTGTCCCAGAGGTTTCTTACATTATCTTCAATTTCTGGATTCTCTTGCCTTCTAGCTTCTGCGGAGGAGTGTCTTCTGGCTCTTTATGTTCCAAATCTTTGACCTGATTCTTGCGATCTTCCATTGTTTTAGGACTCTGTATAAGATATATATATATGACAAGACAAATTAAGTAGGTAAACAAAAAAAAGAGGACGGCGAAGTCCCTCTACCGCCATGATCCTGGCGGCGTCGGCCCTACGCTTGGGGCATCCGGGAGTCCTGCAGTCTCTCTGTATAATATTTTTTATTTCAGACAATGTATTCTTTATTCTTGTTGATCCCTTATCATTTCTTGTTGATTCCTTATTAATTCTAGTTGATCCCCTTTCATATCCTCATAGGTCTTATCGACCTTTTCTAGGAAATTCTTGAAAAACCTTATAAGTATAGATTTGAACTTTATCCAGTCGCTTTTTGTCCTCCATTTCTTTCGTTTGTGATCTATTTCATTGTCTCGGCATTTTCGCAGCTACAGAAGGGGCGGAGTTTCAGGGTGGAGCCTACAGCCTTGGCTCCTGAGTCTCAGTAATTCCCAGGGTCCTTCAGTACTCATTGCAAGCACCTCTGAGAGAAAGGTGCCCTCGATTTTTGCCTGCTACCAAACAGTCTTGGCTCTCCCCCAATGAGCCCGGAACTGGGGTTCAGTTCAGTTGGAAGTGGAGTTGGAGGTGGTGTTCAGAGCAGTATGGAGCTTTTGTCTCCTTCCCGCCAGGGCAATCCCGTGGCACAGCCAACCGTCCCTTCTCTGCACGCAATGTGCGCGCCTCCGGGACCTCCTTTCGCCGCTCCCCGGGGGTTCCGTCTTACAGCCCAGCTCCCTATGGATGAGCCTGGGTCCCCAGGGTCTGACCTAGAACTGGGGTTCAGAGCAGTCGGAACTGGGGCCCAGCACAGTCGGACCTTTTATCTCCTTCCTGTTAGGGAATGCCAGCCAGGCACTCAGCTGCCCCCTCCTCTCCGGCTCCGTCCTCTCCGCGCGCCGCGTGTCTCCGTACCTTAGGCTTTTACAGCTCCTCCGCGCTTCCTTCTGGTTTCCTCCTTGCTTCTCGTTGTAGAATTTCCAGTCAGTCGACTTTCCTGTAGTTTTGGGTAATGTCCATTTTATATTTTAGTTGTATTTTATTGAAATTGTTGTGTGCGGCTGTGGCTAGGTGTTTACCTGTGCAGCCATCTTGGATTTTCCCCAAACACAAAATTCTTATGTGATTAACAAAAAAACAGTAGTACAGCCTTCACTTTTTTTGGCAAGAAACTTAAGGTCTATTAAAATCATACTTTTCCAGACCAGTTAAGACAGTGCCTGTCCTGGAATGGACCCCACTGTCCACTCTTCATACTATGAGTGTTTACTGTGTCTACTCTAAGGCCAGTGCCACAAAAAGAACTAGTCCTTTCCTTAAAAAAATCTTACAGCCGAAACCGGTTTGGCTCAGTGGTGGAGCGTCGGTCTGCGGACTGAAAGATCCCAGGTTCGATTTCGGTTGAGGGCATGTACATTGGTTGCGGGCACATCCCCGGTAGGGGGTATGCAAGAGGCAGCTGGTCGATATTTCTCTCCCATCGATGTTTCTAGCTCTCTATCCCTCTCCCTTCCTCTCTGTAAAAAACCAATAAAATATATTTTTTAAAAAAAATCTTATAACTTAGTCCTCTAGGCAGCCTCTGCCCAGATGTTCATGTCATAACCTTGCCCCTTTGTCCCATTAGGTTTAGCCCTGCAAGCTCAGTGACTGAGCAAGTATCTGAAGCAGGCTCAGGCCTCCTGTCATGTATGCTTAAATCCTGAAACAGGAGTGAAGCCTCATAGATGTTCGGCTCCTGTTTGCTTTTACTAGTTTGCCATTTGCATACTTTAATGAAGCAACTAGTGGGCGAGTCCTGAGTTGTTTGTGGTACATCTTGCAAGGGGAGGCACTTTTATCTCCACAAAAGTGGCTGTAAAGAAAAAAGCACTTGCCTCAGAAGTACCAGAACTGGGCACAGATCCCAGTCCACTGAGGAACCTGTAAGTCACTTATACACCACTCTTGAGCAAGTTACCTGCCAGGAAGTCCATTCCCCATCCTCCCAATCCAGCTATTTTTGCCCATCCTTTAGCAATGACATCACCTCTTCTGAGTAATTGTTCCTCCCTAGGCTGAGTTAGGTGTCCTTTCTACTCCCTTGACGAGCTGTGCTTACCTGTTAGATTTAACATATTGTATTTCAATTGCTTTTAATGACCTATCTCCCAAAAGCAACTTACCCATAGTAATTATCCAAAAATATTTAAGTTTATCAATCCCAAGGAATAATAACCAATTACTGCAGAGGGTTGTTGGAAGAATCTGTAAGTTGTACACTGTCTAATGTTGACCACAGCTCTCCTATTTTGAATATATTTTTACTGATTTTTCAGAGAGGAGGGAGAAGGAAAGAGATAGAAACATCAATGATGAGAAAGAACCATTGATCAGCTGCCTCTTGCACACCCCCTACTGGGGGTTGGGCCCACAACCTGGATATCTGCCCTTGACTGGAATCAAACCTAGGACCTTTCAGTCCACAGGTTGACGCTCTATCCACTGAGCCAAACCAGTTAGGGCACAGCTCTTCCACTTTTGAGCAGTGCCCAGAACTCAAGAATATGCTGTGTCTTTGTTCCCCCATTCTCGACCCTCTCCACACATGCCTTCGAAACCTTGTTCTCCCAAGAGGTAACCTGAAGCTTCTGGTTTTGTAGATGTCTATACCTGAGACCCGACAACGTGGTAGAAGGTAACTGTGTTGAAGAACTACTACAGAACGCCCATCGAGTTACGGAGGAATATTTTGTGGCTCCCCCAGGTACACGTTTCCCGAAGTTTAACAAGCTGTCCCACAGTAAATTAAGAATATAGTAGGACCCAGGTGTTCCCCAAACAAAACTGGGGTGGAGAGGAGTATGTCCAGTAGCAAATCTAGAGCTCAAACTCCACCGAAGGGGCAACTGGCCTTCACTGCTTCTCAGGCAGGAATGTGAGCCCATTTTCCCAGGGAACCTGGACATCTGGCATTTTGTGTGATACTTCCAAAATTTTAAGTACTGGCAACTAATTAAGAAAAAAAAAAAAGACTATGCAAATAAAACATATCTACAAAGACTATGCAAATAAAACATATCACAGATGTATTCTGTGAGTCATCAGTTTGTAACCCTTAGTGTAAAAATTTACATGTTTAAATCTCACTGCAACTATTTTAAGTGGAAATTTAAAAATAGTTCTGGGCTAATAAAAAAATCCAGAACTTTGGGTGGGTTTATTTTCTCTGCAGATAAGTGGGCCCTCAGAGCTTCTGCATACATGTAGATATTTGTAGCCTAAGAAATCCAGGTACATGATTTTCAAATACTAACTTCAAGTTCGGGATATCCCTTTAGTCCAGGGAAACATCAGCCCTCCAGCTCAGGGGTTACCTCTTTGATCAAGACCAACCAGTTAAAAGGCAGGCTTCGGTTGAAGCAAGGATGGGAAGGAAAGCTAAGATATTTGTGAACTCTAAACCATGCCTCTGCTTCACTAAACTGCCTCAGTAACTGTGGAGAGAAATAAGACTTCATCTATCTCAGAGCCTGACGGTTATCACCGTTTAAGCAGACATATCCACTGATCACGTTATTTCTACACAGAATCTTGTCCCAGACTTTGTTTCTTGGGACACAGTGAAGTCAGTCATAGACTTCCCTCCATTCCTATATGCATATAGATGGGTAATTAAGCTGAGTCTGCTCCTTATTGAAAAGTGCATTAATTAGGCTTCAGTTATAATTGTGATTTCTTCAGAAAACAGGCTGGTTGCTACACTTACTTCCATTGTTTATTTTCCATGACAAACCAATGATAACTTAGCTCAGAAGAGCCAGTTAGGAAAGCAGGTTCAGCTATAACATTCTTTTTTATTATTATTTTCAAACAGGTAATATCACTTTGCCAAAGCTGGATGAACAAGAGCTCTTCTCAAAGAGCTGAAGAGCTGTCTGAGAAGGGGTACCCTCTGAACACATGGAAGCACGATAGTATTTTGTTGTTATGAATGCTAAAGTGCCACTTCCCTCAGTAACCGGGGAAAAATCGATGATTAAGTATTTTTCTTTGTAACTAACTCTTCTGAAGATGGAACTGGGAAAGATCTAACCAAAACAAGGCAATGTGTTCCTGAAGCTAATGGAAGTAAAAGGTATTGTCAATTTCCAATGAAATGTTCACTTTGGAAGATATCTCCCTTTATCTCCTCCCAAAATCATCTACCCAACGGCACTTAAGTGAATTTTTTTATATAACCTGTTAGACATTGCATCTGACCAAAGTGATAACCTGAGTTGTCCTTTCTAGTTGCTGTTTCCATCGACCTGAGCACCTTCTATCCTTATCAACACTTGAGTTTGTTCCCGGGCACCCACTTTGTTCTGAACAGAGGCTTAACTTTCTACTAAATTCTCAAGCATCTTTGACGACTATACATCTTTGCAATTCCTGACATCCATCCCACAAAGTGATTGTATGCAAAGGGGATATTAACCAAACCTATAGTTTTACTTTCTGAAAAGAACTTAATGGCTTTGATGGTGGTGGGTTTAGGGGTGTATACTTAACCCAAAGTCATTAAGTTGTATACATTAGCTTTTTACATGTTATCCTTCAGTAAAGAGGGTTATTAAAAAATATAGCCCCAGGCCTATAGTTGACCCTCAATTACTGAATTGAGCAGGATCTAAGATGTGTTCACTCCCCACCCCAGATTCTTCTTTTTTTTTTTTAAGCTCACATACCTCGCCCTGGCCAGCTTGTTTAAGTGGATAGAGCATCAGTCTGCGGACTGAGGGGTCCCAGGTCCGATTCCGGCCAAGGGCACATGCCTGAGTTGAGGACTTGATCCCCAGTGGGGGGCGTGCAGAAGGCAGCTGATCAGTGATTCTCTCATCATTTATATTTCTAGCTCTCTCCTTCTCCTTTCCTCTCTGAAATCAATAAAGAAATATATTTATAAAAAAATAAATAAAGCTCACATACCTCATAGATATGGAGAGTAGACTGGTAGTAGCCAAATGGGTAAGGGCTGGGGGACAGTGAAAGGGTGAAGGGATTGAGAAGTACTAATTGGTAGTTACAACATAGTCACAGGGATGTAAAGTACAGCAGTCAGTAATGCGGTGACTGTGTATGATGCCAGGTGCATACTGGAAATATTAGGGGTGGGGAGTGGGGGACACTTTGTAGAGTATATGATTGTTTAACCACTATGCTGTACACCCGAAACTAAGACAAAATAATATTGAAAATAAATTATAATTGAAAAATAAAAAATTTTGAAAGTTCAGGTAGCACGGATAAATGAGACAGATTAGAAGTAAAAGTGATAGGCCCTAACTGGTTTGGATCAGTGGATAGAGCATCATCAACCTGCAGATGGGAGGGTCCTGGGTTCAATTCCTATCAAGGGCACATGCCAGATTTGTGGGCCCAATCCCTAGCCGATCAATGATTCTCATCATAGATGTTTCTCTTTCTCCCTTCCTCTCTGAAATATATATATTTAAAAGGGGGAAAAAAAAAAAGAGAGAGAACCCTAAACCTGCCCTTGGGATGAAAGCTCTCAAACTATCATCAGAGCAACTACCTTTTTAAAAATATACATAATTTTTTTATTGATATCAGAGAGGAAGAGAGAGATAAAAATATCAATGATGAGAGTCACTGATCAGCTGCCTCCTTCATGCTTCCTACTGGGGATCAAGCCTGCAACCCAGGCATGTGCCTCTAACCGGAATCCAACCTGGGACCCTTCAGTCAGCAGCTGAAGCTCTATCCACTGAGCACCTGTTTATCCCCAAATAAAGTTATCCACTTCTCCTTATCAACTGAGCACAAGGTGTCACTACAACTCAGTGTTTTGTTTTCTTAATCATTATGCCCGTTTGGTGAAATATATGAACTTAATCAAGGACAACCACACATGTCAATTATGAAACATTTAAAATATATTTCTAAACAGAATGGGTCCATTTAGTCACAGTAACTGCTGATCTCCATAGCAGAGAAACCCACAAACACATAGCACTGATTTTGTTTTTGTTTTTCCCCATAATCGGGTGAAAAATATACAACTTGTTTCTGAACCAAAACCACAATTTCTGCAGGTGAAAATGTTTCACTGCTAATATGGCCCTGGTAGAAATTATGTAATTTTATTTCCTTTAAAAAAAATTAAAAAATTTTCTAAGACACTAAATCATCAATCTGGAATGTAAATTCTGAGCACAAAGCAGCTCAGTTCGCCTAAAAAAATAAAGAAAAAATCCCCATCACCTGTTTCAGTAGGGCCTGAAGGGAGAGAAGTAGTGTGGGGAACCCCTGCTTTGGTATGGAGAGTCACGGCCTCTTGACCCAGACCGAGACCGTGAGTAGCCATAGCTGGTACTTCTCTCTGGATAAACTCTGATGTAAGAAGTTTCACCCTGAAATTCAAACAAAAAGTAAAAGGTAAAATAAGTCCCAGAATAATGAAGTCTACCAATACCTAGCATAGCTGCTAACAATAATAATGCTGTATTGAGCACTATTTGCCTGGCACAATGTTATCTCATCAAGCCCTGCAATTCTATGGGGTAAGTACTCTTACTAGTCCATTTTAAGAATGCTCTCATCTGCTGAAGGTGACACAAATAATAAACAGTAACTTGACATGTGTAAATGCTTAAATACTAGCTTAATAACAGCCACTAACCTCCTAGAACCTAAGAACTGGAAAGGCTCTCAGAGATTATATACACACTATATGGAGGGGCAAAAGTAGGCTTACAGTTATTCATATGGAAAAATACAGTAATTAATAAATAATACAAAAACAAACTGTGTTTCACACACTCTCAACTGTAAACCTACTTTAGCCCTACCCTGTATAGTTCAACCAGAAAAAACAACAACGTCCAATTGGTGGTCTAATATCTGGTTTCAATGGTATCAAAGGGATAATCACCATTCAAATCAGACTGAGATATCCAAAGCAGCAGCTGCCATATATATATATATATATATATATATATATATATATATATATATATATATATATATATATATTATACACACACGTATATGTGTGTATGTGTGTGTATTATTGATTTCAGAGAGGAAGGAGAGAGAGGGAGAGACATCAATGAGAGAGAATCATTGATCGGCTGCCTCCTGCATGCCCATACTGGGGATCAAACCTGCAACCCGGGTATGTGCCCTTGGCCAGAATCAAACCTAGGACCCTTCAGTCCACAGGCTGACCCTCTATCCGCTGAGCCAAACCAGCTAGGGCAGCAACTGCCTTCTTGAAAGGAAGGACATCCAGAACTAAGCCCTGAAGGTGAGGTGATCAACCACAAGAAAATAACAAGGGAGTTCAGGTTTCAAAAAGGATCCTGCACTACTTTGGGAAAGAACAATGAAGTGACAACTCTGCCCCAACAGCAGTATCTAGAAAGGCTGAGATGAGGTTGGCTTGCAGAGTCCGTACTAGACCCAGAGGAGAGACAGCCATAATCTTTAGGTTCACAGAGAGACTGCAGATCAAGCCAGTTATGAGAAGGATGTTATCACAATAGCTCACCACATTATGACAGACTGACCAGTATTCTCTCCAGGTTAAAAATACTATGAATGCAGACTTCTCTGTTATAGCCCTGCAGGGCTTAGGCATGATGCATTCCTTGGCTTTGTCCACTTAAGATAGATCTTTAACGGTACTGTGAGGTCATCAAGTGGCAAGTGCATGGCCTGGTGCTACTTCTCCTAGGTCAGCTTCAGATGGAGTGGACTGGGTACAAGCTCCTCAACAGAAGGTGGGGACGCACCTCATGAGAGCGGAATTTGGTGTCATCCAGTTTACGCAGGGCATATTCCATGTCTTCTTTTCTGAGATATTCGACCATTCCCATTCCATCCTTCTGCACATCTGCGTAACAGACGTCCCCAGCTTCTCGCATGTGATCCTTCAGGTCCTGCCAGCTTCCTGAGGGAGGAAGTCCTAGGTATGGAGAACATAAGAGGCCAATCCTTCAGCTGTGTTAAATGCCATTAAGAGCCAGCATTGCCTAGAATCCCTTCTCCATCAATCACTACTTTTAAATCCCGAGAGCTCCCAAATCACAAATCTGGGTAAGGGACACAAAATCAAAGTGCACTAAAGTATATGTGGCAAATCACCTTAAGAAGCTAGTCCTCGCCAGGACCGGTTTGGCTCAGTGGATAGAGCGTCTGCTTGGGGACTGAAAGGCCCGAGGTTCGATTCTGGTCAAGGGCATGTACCTTGGTTGTGGGCATATCCCCAGTAGTATGTGTGCAAGAGACAGCTGATCGATGACTCTCTCAATGATGTTTCTAACTATCTCTCTCCCTTCCTCTCTGTACAAAAATCAATAAAATATATATTTTTAAAAATAGCCGAAGCCGGTTTGGCTCTGCAGACTGAAAGGTCCCAGGTTCGATTCCGGTCAAGGGCATGTACATTGGTTTCTGGCATGTCCCCGGTGGGGGTGTGCAGGAGGCAGCTGACTGATGTTTCTAACTCTCTATTCCTCTCCCCTCCTCTCTGAAAAAAGTCAATAAAAAAAAAAAATTTTTTAAAAAGCAAAAAAAAAAGCTAGTCCTACAGCCCTAGCTGGTTTGATTCAATAGATAAGAGCATTGGCCTGCAGATTGAAGGGTCTGGGGTTCAATTCTGGTCAAAGGCACATAATTCGGTTGCAGGCTCCTCCTCCCTGGCTCTGGTCGGGTCTTGTGCAGGAGGCAACCAATTCATGTGTTTCTCTCAAATCGATATTTCCCTCCCTCCCATTCTAAAAATCAACGGTAAAATATCCTCGGGTGAGGATTAAAAAATAAACAAGTAAATAAATATGTGGAATCATGTTCTTAAAAACAAAAACAAAAGAAGCTAATCCTAGACTAATCTTTCAGAACAATCCTTCCCAAGATGGCAAGAAGTCCATCCCAGAGTTTAGCATCTCTTGAGAATTCACAGCCTCTCTTTTTGTCCCTCAATTAATACCAAACTCTAAGACTGTGAGCTCTTTATTCCATATGAAGTATTTCAGTACCAATCAATGACTTCTTGCCTGACTGGGTTCCCAGAACATGGGAATTTGAAACCATCCAATGAAATAACCAAAATGTAATGGGAGATAACAAAAATCTAAAGTTTGGTTTTTTTGTAGGTGTGATTAACTGACAAACTACCTCTTAAAAGATCACCAGTACTCTTCAATACAGTGGGGGAAAGGTTAAGACTCAGACGCTAAAACTAGTCGGAAGTCATACAACCCTACCTGATGTCATGAAAGGGAAATGTGCTCCTGCTCTCAAAGGCTGTGCTTACCGCTCACAGCTCAGGACTGCAGCCATTTCCCAATAGTGTTCTAAGCAGGATTTCAGAGCAGCATGGAGAGAAGAAAAATGTGTATGACATCTTGAAGAAGGGAACAGAGTCCTGAGGTTAAAAAAATTAAGCCCCTGGCCAATGTGGCTCAGTTGATAGAGCATTGGCCGTCAGACTGAGAGTCCCAGGTTCAATTCCAGCCAAGGCACATGCCCAGGTTGTGGGCTCAATCCCCAATGGGGGGCATGCAGGAGGGAGCCAATCAATGACTCCCTCTCATCATTGATGCTTCTATCTCCCTCTCCCTTCTTCTCTGAAATCAATAAAAATACATTAATAAAAATAATAATAAGCCCCAGCTGGAAAGCTCAATGGATAGTGTTGGCCTCTGGACTGAAGGGTCCCAGGTTCGATTCCGGACAAGGGCACATGCCTGGGTTGCAGGCTTGATCCTCAGTAGGGGGCCTGGGGGCAGGTGTTCAGGAGGCAACCAATCAACGATTCTCTCTCATCATTGATGTTTCTCTCGGTTTTCCTCCCGGAAATCAATAAAAATAATTTTAAAAAAAATTAAATTAATAAGGGATACAAGATAGGCAGATACTATTATTCTTAAGCACCAATGGGAGTCAGTTGTGCTTGTGATATCCACATAGAAAAAGGTATCAGGTTCCTCTAGACATTTCACTCCACCAGGGCCCTAAGACATCCCAAAATATGCAAAAGCCCCCAGGTTTTTACTACTGTGTTGAATAAACCTCAGAGCATATTATTTCATCGCTTGTCAATCCAGATATTTTATTCTATATTCTATACTACAATCTGTAAGACACTAAGTTGTTTTTCTTTTTTTATATAAGCCCAAACCACCACAAAACTGGTCTTTTTCAGGATCCACAGTTGTTTAAATCTGGCTTCTGGAATGTCTTTTCTATCAAGTTGAATACCATGGTACATTAAAAAAAAACCACCCCAAAACATCTTTAGAATTACACTTCAAGAAATTTTGCCATCATCTTCCCTTTCAACACTAGAAAACTCCTTTATAAGAAACATATTAATGCCCTAACTGCTTTGGCTCAGTGGACAGAGTGTCAGCCTGTGGACTGAAAGGTCCCAGGTTCTATTATGGTCAAGGGCAAGTACCTTGGTTGCGGGCACATCCCCAATATGGGGTGTGCAGGAGGCATCTGATCGATGTTTCTAACTCTTTATCCCTCTCCCTTCCTCTCTGTAAAAAAAAAAAATCAATAAAATATATTAAAAGAAAAGAAACTCTTTTGTTCTAACAAGGCTACTATTGGTGCAGTTTCATTTGCAAGAGACCTGCCTCACTGGCAAGACAGGCAGGGCTTCAGACTGTCAGTATGCATAGGCTAAGGGGAAAAAACACCATGTATGCCATGCACTAAAGAAAAACAGCTAACATTTCTTGAGGCCAGACTGTGCTAAGTATTTTTTTAAAATATATTTTATTGATTTTTTACAGAGAAGAAGGGAGAGGGATAGAGAGCTAGAAACATCGATGAGAGAGAAACATCAACCAGCTGCCTCCTGCACACCCAATATCAGGGAAATGCCTGCAACCAATGTACATGCCCTTGACTGGAATCGAACTCCTGGGACCTTTCAGTCTGCAGGCAGATGCTCTATCCACTGAGCCAAACCGGTTTTGGCTGTGCTAAGTATTTTACATGCATCATCTCATTCATTTGAAAGGAACATACCTGAAACAAGAACTCGGAAATCAGATCTTCTTGTAGGAGGTCCATTCCTCCCACCACGGGGCCACCCACCCCGACCTCCGTAAGTTCTGGGGAACTCCACCCGAAGTCGACACTGGCCGTAATCGTAACCATTCCTTCCATAAATTGCATCTTCAGCATCCCTGCAAAGAATAATTTGGTGTTAGTGCTGCTCAGAAGAGCATAACAAGTATGAAAGGAAAACCTAAAGTGAGAAAACAAAACAGGATTTTTTTAAAAAATATATTTTATTGACTTTTTACAGAGAGGAAGGGAGAGAGATAGAGAGCTAGAAACATCAATCAGCTGCCTCCTGCACCCCCCCCCCCCAACTGGGGATATACCTGCAACCAAGATACATGCCCCTGACCGGAATCGAACCCTGGACCCTTGTGTCCACAGGCTGATGCTCTATCCCCTGAGCCAAACCGGTTTCGGCCAAAACAGGATCTTGATGCAGTAACTGCATTGGTTTGAAGACTTTTTATAATATTGGAATTAAACTTTACAGCCATCACACACAGGGTTTTCTAGGTATGAAATGATAAACAGATTACTTATAGGAGGACTAATTCAGAAACAAACAAAAAAAAGGAATAAATAAATAGATGACTGATTTTGCCAATAAGTGTTTAACTTCGGAGGGCAGTTTCTCAAAATGCATACTACACATTAGTCCTTTAATATTCTTTGACAAGGCCTAGTATCACCAAGTCTATAGAAAGAAAAACCCATTTAAAAAGAGGGCTCAAAAGACAAATGCAATTTAGTGTTTTGTGAGGAGACAAAACAAGTGTATGTCTGACTCTCAGCACGGTTTGGAGAAGTTGTCAAAATCACTATCTGGGTACAATTTCCCCCCAAAAAGATAGTTACTTTTAGTTTCCTGTAGGCTCTAGGACAGTTAGGAACACTAAATTAATTTTCCAGTATTGGATGAGAGAATGGCTCAGGGCTTGGGTGGATCAGCAGAGCTGAAGCTATATTAACGAAGGCCTCATTCAGCTGTCACAGGCACAAAATCACTTACCAAGATTTTAGTCATAGAATTAAAAGCAAGGAGACCACATCCAGGGCAACCCTGGCTATACTTATAATGCAGTGGGAGAGAAGCAGGGCTGCTAAGGTTTAAAGCAGACTTTTAGTACAAACTGACATGAATTCAAATCATTCTTCTGTTCTTTATTAGTAGCTGTCTCTGGTTAAGCCGTCAAGTCTTCACATCTTAATCACTGATGTCTTACTCTTAGGATTAAATAAGATCCTATATGTGCAGTGCTTTGCTTGAAACTTGGCAACTAGTGCTATCAACTGGTAGCTTTTCTATTATTAAAGTAATGAGGGAGGAGATAATGATGTAGCATATTATACATAAGTTTGTATTCCAAAAGGGCAGAACAGAGAATTCAAATCCTCCCTTCACCCCTTACTAGCGTTCTCTTTAATCAGTTATCTAAATCCTGTTTCCTCGTCTGTGAAATGTGGTTAGCAATACCTATCTCATAGGCTGAAAATGCCAAATACTAGTACACAGCACGGTCCAGGACACCCGGGGACTGCTCAGAAACCACACCGCGCCGTTACTAATTAATAAGGTGCCACCTTCTCCAGGTTAGATGCGAAATGCCTCGTTCCATTTCTGAGGCAAATGGCAATCGAAGCCTCCAGGGTGCTTCCTGCCTTCCCATCCTCAGATGCTCCCCTCGCCCCAAACCGCACGCCGGAGGGGCAGGCGCCGCGGGTCCGTGCTTTCGGGCGGCGCAGGCACGGCCGGGGAGCGCCCCGGGACGCGCCGGGAAGCCGCGGGGACGCGGCGCCGCGGCGGCTTCCAGGAGCCACCCCCGCAGTTTTGAAAGTTCCCGTCCTTTCCGGCGAGGGCGGCCCGCGCCCGCAGCCTCACAAGGACCCTCTGCGCCCGTTTGGGGGCCCAGAACTTCAAGTCCTTGGGTGCCCAGCACCTAGCGGGCCTCCTTCATTAGAGAAGGGGGTGAAATGAGAGGCCCCCTCAGCCAGTTTGGGGAGTTTTTCCAAATCCTCGATGGTTTTACAAGGACAAGGCGTTAGCCTCGCGGGGCGGCGCGCGCGGCCCGGGCGGGTTCCACCACAGGTTCCACCGCAGAGCCCCTACGACCTCCGAAGGCACCGCCGCCCCGTGCGCGGCCCCTTTAACTGCGGGTCCCGGCGGGAGGGCGCGAAGGGCGCCGCCGAGTCCCCTCCGGGCTGGTTCAAGGGGCCGGGTCCCCGGCCTTCCTTCCCCTCCGGGGCGCCTCTCCAGCCCTGAGGGGAGGCGACCACTTGGTCCACCCCTGAAGCCACTTTAGGCTTGGCCCCTCCAGAGACCCAGCTTTTAGGTTTTGAAGTAAAAAAAAAAAAAAAAGAAAAGAAATAGAGGAAGTGACGACGGCGCAAAGGACAGCCCGGAGTGTAAGGAAGAGCGGCCACAGCCTCCACCTGGGGGCGCCCGGAGGGGTCTGCGCGGAGGGGCAGGAGAGGCGGGGGGAGGGGGAGGGGAGGCGAGGGGAGGGGGAGGGGAGGCGGGGGCCGGGAGCGCGGCGGGCGGAGCGGGGCCTCACCGGGGATCCTCGAATCGCACGAAGGCAAAGGGCACCAGGCCGTGCCTGTTCTTGAGCTCGATCTCGCGGATGCGGCCGTACTTGTAGAATAGGTCCTCCAGGTCCTTCTCGCGCACGTCGGTCGGAAGGTTCCCCACGTAGATGCGCCCGTCGCCCTCGCCGCCGCGCTCGTCCGCCCAGCCCGACATCCGCACCACCCGACGCCGCGGGCCCGCCGCAGCCCACGCCGCCGCCGCCGCCGCCGCCGCCGCCGCCGCCTCAGCCGGGGTCCCCCCGCAGCGTCCCCGCGGGCTCGGAGGCGCTCAGCCGCACAGCATTGTGGGAACGCGGAGCGGAAGCGAAGGGGTCGGAGGAAGCAAAAGGAATCCTCTTAAAGGGGACGCGGCTGCGAGGATTGCGCGTGCGCGCGTGCGCGCGGGCCCGCGGGCCCCTGGGCGGGCGGGCGGGCGGGCGGGCTCATGGGCGGCGGAAGGGAGGTCGTGGAGTGCAGCTGATCGGGCTCAGCTCCCGCAGGCAGTTCGCTCACTAGCCGCGTGGACGTGGGGGAGTGACAGGCTCCGGGGCCTCAGTTTTCTGCCCCTGTCGCGCCGCTACCTCACCGGCGTTTGTGAGACCTCACCGTGTCCGCGGGCCGGGCGGGGGCGGGAGGGCGCCCGGCCGCAGGCGGACCCGCTGCGCCCGAACCTGTCCCCCGGCCTGGCCGGACCGGGCTGGGCCCAGGCGGCCCTCAGCCTCAGGTCAGTAGCCCCCTGGGCCACCCGTCCCCATTTTACAATTGCTTAGAGCCCTGGCTGGTGTGCCCATGCCCCCACACCAGAGGGTCGCGGGTTTGATTCCCGGGGGAGGGCCAGTGCCCAGGTTGTGGGTTCAGTCCCCGGCCCTGGTTGGGGTGCGTGCGGGAGGCAACCAATCCATGTGCTTCTCACGTAGATGTTTCTTTTTCCCTCCCCACCTCCTCCCTTCTTGCCCCCTTTCTATCTCTAAAAACCAGTGAATCCCCCCATTCTCCCTCAGTGGTTGAGCATCGACCTGTGAACCCGGAGGGCACAAGCCTGGGTTCCGGGCTCCATCCCCTGTAGGGGGGGCACGCAGGAGGCAATCGTTCAGTGATTCTCATCATTGATGTTTCTCTCCTTCTCACTGCCTCTCTGAAATCAAGAAAGAAATATATATATTTTTTAAATCAATGGAAAAAACATCCTTGGGTGAGGATTAATAAAAAAGGGAATAAAATTTTACAAATTATTATCTAGTTCTATATAATACTATGAATATTTAAGAGTTATATATATTCACCCTGTGTAACAAAAAGCATGGTAGATAATAACCTTCCAAATTGTTGTGGAGATATCTCTTGATGGAAATGATTTCTATATTCTTTATGTATGTTTTTTTAAAATATATTTTATTGATTTTTTACAGAGAAGAAGGGAGAGGGATAGTTAGAAACATCAATGAGAGAGAATCATCTATCAGATGCCTCCTGCACACCCCCTACTGGAGATGTGCCGGCAACCAATGTACATGCCCTTGACAAAATCGAACCCGGGACCTTTCAGTCCACAGGCCGACGCTCTATCCACTGAGCCAAACCGGTTTCAGCTATTTATGTTTTTCTGCATTTATCAAATTGTAAGTAGCAGGTACTACTTTTCTAATTGGAATAAAACACAATAAGTTATTTCTAAAATAAAACAATCAAGACTATCGTGTTCTGTTACTTTTTTCTTTTTCTTTTGTATTCTGGATTGAATAAAGCTTCTACCCTATTTCCCCGAAAATAAGACAGTGTCTTATATTAATTTTTTTCTCCCAAAGTTGTGCTAGGTCTTATTTTCAGGGGATGTCTTATTTTTCCATGGGACAGGTCTTATTTTCAGAGGATGTCTTATTTTTGGGGAAACACGGTAGTTGTTCTTTTCTGGCCTTCAAAAGACAAGCAGGAAAGAGCCCTGGTCACATGTGATCTTGAGTCTAAGTCCACAGCCTGATAGGAGCTTCCTGAAGTCCAGATGCCTCTTCATTTTGGGGGTATGTTAACAGCACCGTCTGAGTTCTACCACTCTTACCTGCCAGGTAAGAAAAAACAAAACAAAAAAAACAACTATTGGAGAAATTAGGTAATCTCCGAGGCAGGTTAATATTGGAATTAAACTTTAATATGATAATATTAAATGAAATATAATATAATGAGATAAATGAAATCAGCTAAGTGATCTAATAGGACTCTAGGTGGAAGTCTGCTTATGAATAGTAATGATTCCGCTGGTATTATGCAAACTCCTGCAGCCCTGCAGTCACCGAAGGGGGTCACACCTAACCTGGAACATGCCGTGCCCATAGATGGCCACGCGGCACGTACAGCCTTCCAGAATTAGGAGGAGCACAGCTAAATTGCTAGGACGGACTTCTGATAATCCATGGAACCCCACAGGTGGATTTGGTTCCTAGGAGCCCAGGTATAATACTAACCTGTGCAGGTTAGGCCACAAATGAGGCCAGGATCATTGCTTCATGCTCAAGGGGCCCATGGGCTCCCTTCTCTGCTGAGGCCACAAGCCCTAGGAGGGACACCCTTTGGAGCTTTTGCCATTAGTTATTCAGCATCAACAAGGGCATGCTATAATTTAGACCCCAAAGGAGGCCCATGGCGGGCAGTAATACCATTCTGTCCTCCAGGTGTCTGTTCAAGTGGCTATTTAGTCACTTAAAGCAGCGGTTGCCAACCGGTGGTCCGGCAAAAAGGACAGCACGAGTGATTGCCTGGATAGAAGAGAGCTTGGCAGACCAGGGGCAAGCCCCACTTCTGTGCCGTATGGCAAGGGCAAGTTCGAGTTGGGGGAAAGGAGGGAGAAGGAACTGGAGCTGGTGCTTCAAGGCCTAGAAGACCACATGATGGAGTTTGGACTCTGTTGAGGGCAGTGAATAACCGTTGAAGGATCTTAAGGAATTATGTTGGGATGAGACCTCCGTAGGAAGTGGCAGCTGAGGGAATTTGGAGATAAGCAAGTTGGGGAGGAGACCCAGTGCTAATTTGACTAGAGGGCAGCTGCAGGATAGTAGGGGAAAGGAGAAGTGAGAGAGAGGTGGCAGTAGCAGACATTATGGGGGAACTTAGGGAAAAAGGAGAGTTAATCAAGGGATCAGTGTAGGAAATATCTCTTTGTTTAACTGCAGTGCAAGCCTCCTCCTGTGACCTTATAGATGCCTTTGTTAAAAGCTAAGATGTGCCGAGACCGGTTTGGCTCAATGGATAGAGCGTCAGCTTGGGGACCGAAGGGACCCGGGTTCGATTCTGGTCAAGGGCATGTACCTTGGTTGCGGGCATATCTCCAGTAGGGGGTGTGCAAGAGGCAGCTGACCGATGACTTTCTCTCGTCGATGTTTCTGGCTCTCTATCTCTCTCCCTTCCTCTCTGTACAAAATCAATAAAATATATTAAAAAAAAAAAAAAAAAAGCTAAGATGTACCTCAGTGGTTGAGCATCGACCTATAAACTAGAAGGTCCACTGTAGAGGGCAGCTAATTGATTATTCTCTCTCATTATTGACATTTTATCTTACCCTTTCCCCCTCCCCTCCCATTCTGAAATAAATTTATACACACACACACACACACATTATCCATTAATAATTTTGAAGTTGGATTCTTATTGTTCTGGGAAGATATATAGTGTGTTCAGATTAGCTAAAAGGTGAATAGCTAAGAACAGGGATAGCCCCAGATGGCCCATTGACTAGCAGGTTACATGGGAAAGTAGCTGAGAGGAGGTAGGAGGTACCAGACTCGCTAAGAGGCCTCTGCGATTACCCAAGAAAGAGTTGCCAGAGACCTGATTTAAGGTGATAAGAGATAGAGATTAGATTTCTCAAGGAAATTAAGTCACTTCATTAGGACGTGGACATAGATTGGACGTGAGGGCTGAGGAAGAAGGAGCCTGGGTTGATTCCCAGGTTCCTGTCGTGGGGACCTGGTTAGGAAGTGGTAGCATTCTGAGATGGGGAATAAAGCAGATGGAAATGATCTGCAGGGACTGGTGATATGAGTTCAGATACCTTTAGAGGACATAAGAAGGAAGGAAAAAAAGAGGAAGGATGAGAAGTGCGATGATTAGGCTCTATGTGCCCTCTGCACTGCAAACAGAATCCCAGGTGCATGACCTAATGATGATGAATGGACATTGGAGTCAGATAAATGGGTAGGACTGTCCTTCCTGCAGGGATAAGCTTTCTCTTAAAATATGAGGGAGTTCAACCCTGGCAGGGTAGCTCAGTTGGGTAGAGCATCCTCCAGATATACTAATGTGTGGGCTTGATCCTTGGTCAGGGCACATACAAGAATCAACCAATGAATGCATAAATATGTGGAACAAGTTTCCCTCTCTCTCTCTCTCTCTCTCCCCCTCACTCCTCTCCCCCCCCCCACTCTAAAATCAATAAGTAAAATGGGGAAAAAATGTATATAAGGGAGTTCAATAAAATTAGTCATTCCTAATATGATAAGAATGGTACCAATGGGCCTGGCCAGTTGGCTCAGTGGTTGAGTGTCGTCCATGCACTGGAGGGTTGCTGGTTCAATTCACAGTCAGGGCAGCTGCCTGGGTTGCTAGTTTGATCCCAGGCCAGGGAGCAGGCAGAAGGCAACAGTCTCAGAAGGCAACAGTCTCACATCGGCCGGGACCCATTTGGCTCAATGGATAGAGCGTCGGCTTGGGGACTGAAGGGTCCCGGGTTCGATTCCGGTCAAGGGAATGTACCTTGGTTGCGGGCATATCCCCAGTGGGGGGTGTGTAAGAGGCAGCTGATCGATGACTCTCACTCATCGATGTTTCTGACTCTGTATCTCTCTCCCTTCCTCTCTGTAAAAAAATCAATAAAATATATTAGAAAAAAAAAAAAGTCTCACATCGGATGTTTCTCCCTCTCTCTTCTCTCCCTTCCTCTCTCTAAGCATTTCCTCAGGTGAAGATTTAAAAAAAAAAATAAAAAATAAAAATGGGGCCAGTGGGCTTGGGCTTGTCTTCAGGTGAAAAAGAAGCCTTTGATCTTGGCAGACTGTTAAGAATTTATGCATTTCCCACTGCAAGCCATTTACTTCCTAGTAGGGTGTTGGGCAGTGCCCTATAAAAAAATAAAACAATTAACAGTGGAGATAAAACATTCTCTGAACCTGCCCATCTGGTTTTCTT